TTCCAATCCAGGTCTAAGTCTCATAGATTGTGTTAAGGTGCATTTTTCAAGGCCTTTCCAGAGAAGGGATCTCTTCAGTATGGATGAGGAAATACCGTTTCTACCTTGACTTGAGGTGTATCGGGAATACTGTCAGAATCGTTGTCACTATTGTTATTGTCATCACCGTCAGAGTCACCAGAATCACCAGAGTCACCAGAGTCACCAGAGTCACCAGAATCGGAGTCATCAGAATCAGAGTTACCAGAATCGGAGTCATTAGAATCAGAGCTGTCACTGTCGTCTCCACCACCGCTGGTGGAACGCATATTTTGGGGGTTAATCGAATACCTGGTAGAATTTGATGGATGTTCGTCTAGATTAGCAGAGATTAATGGTACGTTAAGGCACCGCGAAAGTTGAGTGAGATTCAGGGAATCTTGATCTGTAAGGATCGAGTCATCGGTACTGAAAGTGAAATTAAAAGTTAATGTTAAAGAGGATAGATACAGATACAACAAATTTTAGATGATATTTATAAAGCAAGAATGGTAATGTAACGACGTTTAAAGTTAAATATATCCGTGTAGGCCTTACACTGTGCTTTCAGCAATACTCATAAGTATTTCCGTGGCTGTGGTTGCAATGCGCCTAGTCTACTGGAATGATTCTTCGGAATTTCGCTGGATTGTACAACTTTCGTCTTCGTAGATTCCAAACACAAGGAAATTTTCCTCTTGGTTGGTAATATACTCAATGATGGAAGTATAGTGTATTGGCTATGCCCCGCTTACTAGTTTAGCTCTTTCTAGTCCCCTGCTACACGGCATGTAAACAGGGATTGGCTAGTTAGAGGCGGTCCGTGTAGGCCTTACACTGTGCTTTCAGCAATACTCATATGTAGGTTCTTACGATGAGTCACGGTGTCTGAACTTTTTAATATCTTTAACTGTCACAGCAAATCGATTGTGCAGAGATCTCCGTTTAGCAGGTCTAGATCCACGAAAGGGCATTGAAAAACAACAACAGATGAGTAAAATATGTTAATCGTTGGAAGATATTTCAATCGAGAATGACAGTCAATTGAATTATTGCCAGGCAATTAAAATGGCACGTGATGTTTAACTGCGCAAAGTTATTTGCGTAATCAGAAAACAACAATATTTTTGTTAATGGTGTGTGCGCGGCGTAATGTCAGCATTGTGTGTAGCTCTAGCGAAGAAAACCGCTAGTCGAAAGCTTTGTTCGAGGAAATTTTAAAAATCAGTTATGTTTTAATTTCTCTTCATCATATAGCTCTGTTATACTGTAGACATAATGGAATTTATCTAACAATGGCAACAGCGTTGTTAGTATTCGGATTCCCAAAACGATACTTTTTACCGCATCAAAAAATACCAATCACAACCAAAGTTATGAATATAAGTCATAGCGTGAGCGTAAATGTGAGCTAGTTTTGAAATTATGACGTAGCAATACTCATACAGCATAACAACGCGCGTAGTTAAGATGTTTTTGCTCGCGCACGTGCATTTTAACGTTGCTACGCAACAGCGCAGTAAACCTTTGCTAAAATAGCGACATTATTCTAACGGTTATTTTACCTCACTTCCGACGTTAATTATAAAAAATCTAAAGCCTAAATCAAAATTCTAAGAATGCTATAGCCTATTCCTATCCTTTTTCTACAACCCTGCTAAAAATGGCGAGGTTTCAACTCCATTTGCGAGCTGGGTTTGATTTCACCAGAGGGTCATTTTGAGGTCGATTTTCGGTGTTTTTTCTTCTATGTCCCCGTTGCCGGGGAAATTTCGTCAAGTTTAAAATATAATATAGATATATGTAATAAATAGTTGTTGTTTGGTTTCCCAAAGAGAGTGCTCGACTGCAGTTAAGCAGGAGCATTATAAATATAATTCGAACAATTGAAACAATTCAAATTGGCGGGCAAACGATCCGTTTCATGATATGTATAAAAACAATACCAATCATCAGTGCCAAATAGAATAATGAATTGTAGCGCTATGACATGTTGCTCCTTTATAAAATAATTTTTATCGATCATGAAACATTTTCAAAATTTCCAAAAAAACAGTTTATTGTGTCCGTCCCAATTTTAAAATTGTCTATGAAGTAAGGTAGTAAGATATCTTTGGCTTTTAAAGTTGTAAACTGCGTTGGCCTTCGTGTAGTGGTAGAGGAAAATTCTTTACTGAGTTCCGTGAAGCTGGTAGAATTAGGATCCGTATTTGAGAGTTACCTAATTGTTGATTCTGGTTATCAAACGAGAGTGCTCAACAACGACGAGTCGAAGGAGCATAACTAATAAATAGTTGTTGTTTGGTTTCCCAAAGAGAGTGCTCGACTGCAGTTAAGCAGGAGCATTATAATTCGAACAATTGAAACAAATCAAATTGGCGGGCAAACGATCCGTTTCATGATATGTATAAAAACAATACCAATCATCAGTGCCAAATAGAATAATGAATTGTAGCGCTATGACATGTTGCTCCTTTATAAAATAATTTTTATCGATCATGAAACATTTTCAAAATTTCCAAAAAAACAGTTTATTGTGTCCGTCCCAATTTTAAAATTGTCTATGAAGTAAGGTAGTAAGATATCTTTGGCTTTTAAAGTTGTAAACTGCGTTGGCCTTCGTGTAGTGGTAGAGAAAAATTCTTTACTGAGTTCCGTGAAGCTGGTAGAATTAGGATCCGTATTTGAGAGTTACCTAATTGTTGATTCTGGTTATCAAACGAGAGTGCTCAACAACGACGAGTCGAAGGAGCATAACTAATAAATAGTTGTTGTTTGGTTTCCCAAAGAGAGTGCTCGACTACAGTTAAGCAGGAGCATTATAATTCGAACAATTGAAACAAATCAAATTGGCGGGCAAACGATCCGTTTCATGATATGTATAAAAACAATACCAATCATCAGTGCCAAATAGAATAATGAATTGTAGCGCTATGACATGTTGCTCCTTTATAAAATAATTTTTATCGATCATGAAACATTTTCAAAATTTCCAAAAAAACAGTTTATTGTGTCCGTCCCAATTTTAAAATTGTCTATGAAGTAAGGTAGTAAGATATCTTTGGCTTTTAAAGTTGTAAACTGCGTTGGCCTTCGTGTAGTGGTAGAGGAAAATTCTTTACTGAGTTCCGTGAAGCTGGTAGAATTAGGATCCGTATTTGAGAGTTACCTAATTGTTGATTCTGGTTATCAAACGAGAGTGCTCAACAACGACGAGTCGAAGGAGCATAACTAATAAATAGTTGTTGTTTGGTTTCCCAAAGAGAGTGCTCGACTACAGTTAAGCAGGAGCATTATAATTCGAACAATTGAAACAAATCAAATTGGCGGGCAAACGATCCGTTTCATGATATGTATAAAAACAATACCAATCATCAGTGCCAAATAGAATAATGAATTGTAGCGCTATGACATGTTGCTCCTTTATAAAATAATTTTTATCGATCATGAAACATTTTCAAAATTTCCAAAAAATTATAATGCTCCTGCTTAACTGCAGTCGAGCACTCTCTTTGGGAAACCAAACAACAACTATTTATTAGTTATGCTCCTTCGACTCGTCGTTGTTGAGCACTCTCGTTTGATAACCAGAATCAACAATTAGGTAACTCTCAAATACGGATCCTAATTCTACCAGCTTCACGGAACTCAGTAAAGAATTTTTCTCTACCACTACACGAAGGCCAACGCAGTTTACAACTTTAAAAGCCAAAGATATCTTACTACCTTACTTCATAGACAATTTTAAAATTGGGACGGACACAATAAACTGTTTTTTTGGAAATTTTGAAAATGTTTCATGATCGATAAAAATTATTTTATAAAGGAGCAACATGTCATAGCGCTACAATTCATTATTCTATTTGGCACTGATGATTGGTATTGTTTTTATACATATCATGAAACGGATCGTTTGCCCGCCAATTTGATTTGTTTCAATTGTTCGAATTATAATGCTCCTGCTTAACTGCAGTCGAGCACTCTCTTTGGGAAACCAAACAACAACTATTTATTAGTTATGCTCCTTCGACTCGTCGTTGTTGAGCACTCTCGTTTGATAACCAGAATCAACAATTAGGTAACTCTCAAATACGGATCCTAATTCTACCAGCTTCACGGAACTCAGTAAAGAATTTTCCTCTACCACTACACGAAGGCCAACGCAGTTTACAACTTTAAAAGCCAAAGATATCTTACTACCTTACTTCATAGACAATTTTAAAATTGGGACGGACACAATAAACTGTTTTTTTGGAAATTTTGAAAATGTTTCATGATCGATAAAAATTATTTTATAAAGGAGCAACATGTCATAGCGCTACAATTCATTATTCTATTTGGCACTGATGATTGGTATTGTTTTTATACATATCATGAAACGGATCGTTTGCCCGCCAATTTGATTTGTTTCAATTGTTCAAATTATGTATATATGTATATATATAGATAGATATCACGACAATCTGTCGTAAAACAGGGGTTCTAGAAAACCCACTTCCCGATGTTCCTGAAACCTGAAACTTTTTTTTGCAGTCGATTTGGTCAACGTCTAGACGCCCTGAAAAATTTCAGATCTCTAACTCGATTTTAACATGGTTTTTAAGGCACCTGAGTATGGCGATTTTGGGTTTTTTACCGAATTTCGTATAACAGTGCTGGCGAGTATTTTATGCAAATTTCTTAAAAATCTCAACATAACTATTTTTTATTCCTGTCATCTTTGACATCAAATTAGAATGTTTTGAACTAAAAATAAATCTGCTGAACGACTTCCGATGAGTCTTAATGCCTGAAAAACTCCTGCCGGAGGCGGCGGCCTTCGGCCGCCGCCTCCGGCCGGAGTGCACGCTTCGCGTGCACGAAAGAGGCTTGTAACGTGTACCAAAGGGGGTATAATAGTAAAGGGGGTATAATAGTAAAGGGGGTACATAGTATACCCACAATAAATGCACCGGTCGTGCTTGCCAGCACTGTGATTATGAAATGGGATGGAAATGTTTTAACTGCAGGTATTAATAGCTAATCCACAGTCCACACCCTAGCTACATAATATGAAGAATTTGTTTCATTTCAAAATAAAAAGGCTCTGATATGTCAGTAAATATTTTTCACTTCATAACACTATTTGTCCTTTTAATCGACTAAAAATTCAGGTCAACGGAAAATCTGAGGGCGAGTTCATCTGCATGATAAAATGGGGAAAACTCTTCATAAAATCCTCACCATCAAAGCTAACAGTTCGGACGATTTCATCACCTCCAGTTACCACAAACGTTGTAAAAGGAGGAACAGGGGAGCTCAATTGCCAGGCTACCGGTGACAGTGCTGCTACAATCTCCTTCCACCGAGTATCCGACCACCAGTCCCTGGGCACGGTTGAAAATACTAATTCCGAGTCCAATGGGGTGGTAACGTCTACTGGTGTTCTGGCTGTTGGTTAACATGTCACATCTTCTGAGGATAGTATTGAGTTTTATTGCAAAGCAAGTTGGCTTCAGGGAAAAGAGATCAACTCGGATAGTGTTTATCTTTCTATTCTAGACATTACTGGGACGAGCGAGACCACATGGGGGGCTGCGGGTAATTATACTTATATATTGAGATTACTATTTGATGCATAACTTGTAAAAAGTAGGCTTATCAATACGCACTCACAGTTGATAAAATGTTTCAGAAACTATTATTAATAACAATTTATTAAGGAAGCGGATTCAAGCCTTGAAACATTTTGAGGCTAATTGTGAGTTTAAGCAATATTCGGGTAGAGATTCAACTATTCAAGTCTTGGCAGTATTTAAGGAGTATAATTAATGATCCTCAGGCAAGGTAGCAGAGTTTAATTGCCAATCACACGGGGTGTTGAGGGAAAATGGTAATCTCTATCTTGATAAAGATACGAAAGAGATAGTGATTACTGACGCTAAAATAGGCTGGGAATTCTTTGACTCAATTAGCTCAACTTGGAAAGATATCGAAGAAGATGAACGGTAATAGTTATAGCTTTATAATAAAACTTCTTAACATTTTTATCTTTCATAGTTAATTTATATTTGAATGCGTTGATTATTTCGTCGTGAAAATGTGGCTCGTTTTGTTATGCAGTAAAATGTTATCACTTTCAGTTTTTCCAAAAAGAATTCGCTAGTAGGAAGCAAGAGTGTCACCTCTTCTTCTCCGTAAATTGAAGGAAACTGACGACAATGCAAGGTTGAGATGCACCATCCAATACAAAGCAGACTCAAACTACAACTTCTTAGGAGGAACTGTAATATCAGGGGACTTAACCCTTAGGCTCGCTTCCATCACCTCTTTTACTTCCTCTGACTCCAGCCCAACTGTTGGTGACACTATAACTCTCACCTGCATAGCTACCGGTGAAGTAGCTCCCACATTTGGGTTCTCTGACGGACGAGGTAACTTTGATACCTCCCTCTATGAAATGGTGAGGGATACCCTGGTCTCATCTACTGGGACAGAACATTCTGTTACATACGTTACGAAAACTATTAAAGCTAAATATGTTATGAGGAATGGTCAGCGCATCAAGTGTAAGGTTGGTTAAGAAGAAATGTACATAATATAAATCCAATACAATATCTGGTGATGTCAAGCTTCTTTTTTGAGTTGATTGAACAAGAAGTCATGTTATTTATGCCCCAGGCTGACTACGAGGGTGTAATAGGAACTACTGTTCAGAGCATGACTGTGACAACATACTACCATTGTAGTTCTTTACCACTCCAGACACACAACGATGGTTAGTTAACTTTTACGATAATCGATACCAAAACAGTCAGATGAAATGCCTGGCCCAAAGTTGTACAGATTGAACTGTTGATATTACTTCCAATTGAATCTGGAAGAGTTTGAATTCGTCGAAACGAGCCTTGTGTCCTAGACTTCACAAAACGACAAAACGTTGCAAATGGAACCCTTTATTTTCAGTTGAGGATGCAGTGATAAAAACCATAGATAACGGAGATGGAACCACTACTCGCACGATCAGTACGTGTCCAGCTGACACTGACAGTATACGATACACTCTTGAAGGTTTGAAAAGTGTTACTTTGTAAACACAGAAAACGAATGTAACCATTATATGCAAATATTCAGCTCCACTGTTAACCGTCTATCAGAATGGGAATATCCGTCACTGGAAAGCTCCAGAAATACACATATTTGATAGCTGATGGGTTTAATAATTAATTTATACTTATAGGGAAATCCACGAGATAAAACAACTTATTTCTGAGGTTAACTTGTTCCCAGAGACCGCCAACTCAGGAGCTAGTATAACATGTTCAAAAGAAGAAGGCCACTTCGTGAAGCTGTACTTGGCCAGGTGCAGAGAGACTAAAGCCCTGGAGTTTGCTGAAGGGACCCAGATTTTAACCCTACCCTACTTAGTGGGAGTAAGATATCTTCAATTTTCTTAATTAAGTAATTAAAATTATCAATTTAATTAATTAATTAAATATTTCGATATGCGCTATCAGCTATGTGCTCCTTTATCGCCTGGGACCAAATTATTCAATTAAGTCGGCGATTTTGCCAATAATTGATGTCTCACAGTTGACACGCTTTATCGAACCCTCTCTAGTCTTTACTCGGTCCTCGGATCATCTTGATCTATTCAAAATCTTCAGAGTTGAAAACTACGTGAGATAATTTTTTAAATACGCCGTATTTTGCGTATTTTTGCTTAGAAATAAAATACGTCAAAAATACGTTAAAATACGTTTTTCTTGAAATTTCATTCAAAGACTAAAGTTATGTCATTCGTTTGCATTTTTTCAGACACATTTCTATTTAACTTCAACGCTTTAATGCTTTGGTAAGTCATATGCGAGGTGAAAAACGACAGAGCTACGCGAGTTTTGATAAAATCGTAAATTTATATAAAGCAATAGTACTTATTACTTTATTGGAGCTATCAATGGTACAATAACACTTATTACGTATTTTATTCAACGAAAATAAAATACGCCGTATTTAACGTATTTTTGATATTTTATAAAATTCGTAAAATACATATTTTTCAACTCGCTGAAAATCTTTCCTTTTCTTAACCTAGTTGTTTGGGGTTCGCCTAACTCTAGCTTAGGTTTAGGCAAGTCTGGCGAAACGTTAAAATGGAAGCTAGACAGTATAAAACATCATGAAGCTAGACATTATATGAAAATCATCCGTAACTATAAAATATAAATCGAGTTCAAGATGAATTAAGTGATTACTTTCAATTAACTTCGCTCCGTTTGCAAAGTTATATTATAGCTTGTTCTTTTTCAGCCATGTCACCCATCGCAGAGTGGCCAATTCGGAAAAGAAAAAATGGAGGAGAAGTTAAACTCGGAGATCGATACAGTCTGCGGCTTTAAAAAAGCTGTTAGGTGTCTGATAGATAACAGTAAGTGTTCAACATCGGGCTCTGCACATCCTTAATTTGATCTTATTGAGCACAAGACGTGTTTGTTTTACTTAATCTGACCGTTGTTTAACTTAATATGACCGTTCACATATTACGTCAGACCACCTCAAATCTCCGTAAGCCATTTTATGCACAGAAATTGTGTGTAAATAACATTACTATTAGCGTATGCTTTTCCAAACCCCCTGATTACCCCCTGATTATCCCTGATTACTAAGTAATTACGTCTGGCTTAGATAGTAAATGAACGATCCCTAGGCGTAATCCAACAGAATGGGCAGGTTATTTAATAATCATAGTTGATATGGTAACATACCCTTACTTCATTCAGCGTGCGAGCTGAAACGTTTGTGCGAGTGGAAAGTTGGGGTTACAAATGGGCGTCTTTACATGACGTTCAAAGTAAGGTTGACTCCACCCGTTTGGACTCATTCGGAGAGAACTAATCGCGTTTCGTTGAACGGTCGGAAGATTATGTTCTACAGATGCTCTGAAAAATACGACAGCAGGTGAATTCTAATCTTTTTTAATCTCATGAAATATTAAATTCAGAATGAAACGTAATATTAATCTGAGACTTGCTTTACCATTTCTGTTTAGCAGTGTGAGCTAACATATTCACGTAGAGGGTTAAAGTTATAACGCAATAATGCTCTCTCACTCTGAGGGCCGCGCATGATAACACCCGAACGTAGTGAGGGGGTTTGCGCGGCCTGATAGAGTGAGAGAGTATTATCAGTTATAATGCCCGACTGTCCGATTGGAAGGGGTGTAATGTGATACGTGCGCATGATACAATATAGTGTCTAATATATAGAACGCCAGTGTTATTTGTTTTGAAACTAATTAACTGTGGAGCCGGAAACGTATTACGAGAAATGAAAGTGGTCTCTCGCTGTTCTTATACCTGTTTTGATAATGCTCCCTGAGAAAAATTTAGCGTTATCACATTTCACCCTCATGACACATTATCACATATAACGTCCCTGAGGGCATTATAGGTTCTAATTGGTCTATCGCAGAGCTACTTCAGCTATTGAGTTATGTCCAATTAAAGGGTAAGAATGGATCTGGAGGAGTAATTTTAGGACCTACGAAATAGTTTCTACCGGTATTTTGTCGAGTTGAACATTCTGCAACCTTTGAACATCCTTGATTTGCTTGAATCTCAAAATTTGCATGAATCTCAAAAATGGCGAGCTGGAAGCCAGTCTTACAGGTTCTAATCGGACGTATCAGAGCTACTTCAGCGATTGAGTTCTGTCCAATTGAAGGGTAAGACTGGATCTGGAAGAGTAATTTTAGGGCCTACGAAATAGTTTCTACCGGTATTTTGTCGAGTTGAACATTCTGCACCCTTTGAACATCCTTGATTTGCTTGAATCTCAAAAATGGTGAGCTGGAGGCCATACCAATCTTACAGCTCATTAACTACCACGTACCTAAATTACTACCAGAAAATTAAGAGGAGCTGAATATTTAAATTAGGAAACTCTAAAATAATAAGTTGTCGGTATGTTCTTACACCAATTAGAATTACTGCATCATAATTACATAATCTCTTGATTACATTATAGGAAAAAACGAAATTTATTGACTGAGATGGACTTCAACTTTGATCCGGAAAATCTGGAAGTTGAAGACTTTGTTTCTGATTGGATTTTAAGTAAGATGAAGAACCAAATCATTCATTATATTTTTAGTCAACACTAAACTGACGTTATTATTTGCAAGTCATTGCCCATACATGGGATGCACAATCAAAAATAGATTAAATTAATCACTTACAACAGCTGTTATTATTACAAACATAAGAGAAACTGAAAATATAACCCGCCTCTTTTTCAGATTGACGAAAGAACAAAGAAAGGGCGGACGATTTGCGACCCAATCATTATCTATCAGCAATCAGAAAGGCCAAGATGCATGGAGAAATAGCGTTATCTAATGCATTTTTGTTGATTGATTGGGGGACTGGTCCGTAGTACCAGCCAATGTTTACTCAAAAGTAATATATAATTGAAATAAGTTAAATATTCATCCCCGAGGGGCACGCAGATTATAATTGTGATGTTATCTATTAAAACTATTCAATTAAAATTGTATTGGTCGAGTCGACTGGCCCTGATCTGCAAACATATTTGATATTAGTAACTTTATGATGCTGCCTCACCGCAATTAGGTGTGTTATCAGTGTAGATATGCGTTATGTGGCAGTGAAATAAGGAATGTGCTGTTAGAATGGCAGGTGGTTTGAAATGTTGTATGATTCAGATTGTTTAATTTGAGCTGTATGAGTTTGGTTTTGAGTGATTATTGACTATGTTCTTTGTGATTTACGTAATCCAGGTAGGTTGTGGAGTAAAAATGGTGGCCATTCGTCGTTGCAGCCAGCACTTTGCAAGTCTAGTAGTACTTTTTTTGACGAATTCTTATATATGTTGATAGAAAATATACTGGATGGGCATGTAATGCGAGTGTTATGCTCTGAAATAGCGAGCATTGGGCCTTTATAAAAGATGCTAGATCTCAGGTCAGTCTGTGAGTAAATTGATAACCAGTCTAAGTTTTGTTCGTGTGTCGTTCCTTGTTTGGGTGTGTTAGGAGGGAAAAGTTCTGAAATCGATTTGGGTAACAAACTAGACATATTTCGAACTTTGTGCAGTAAAATAAGTGCGTTTTTAACGATAACCCCTTGAACGGTTAAGACCTCGTGTTCTTTAAATGCTAGTTTTGTGTGCTCTGGCAGTTTTCCGTCCTTGTAGTAGTAGTTCACATTTCCGGCCATAACTGCCCTCATACCTTGTTTTTGTTTAGCAAAAAGAGATTCTATAAGAGATTTTGAAGCAAATCCCCAGACAAGTGAGCAGAAGTTTAAATGGGACTGAACAAAACTTTGGAAAATCTGTAAACGGGCCTTCATTGGCAATTTATGTTTTATCCTGTACATCACCCCAATAAATCTTGACATCTTGCTCCTCAGTGCTTTTATGTGGTTACTCCAGTTAAGCTTTTCATCTACAATTACACCAAGAAACCGGGCTTCAGTTTTACGTTCTAATACTGTATTTTCTATTTGTACTTTAATCAATGATGGTTCTATGCGCTTTTTCGAGAAAATCATATAACACGTCTTTTTTAGATTTAGTGCTAATCCGTTGCTATTAACCCACCGTGATAATGTTTCCGTTAATTGGTTGACCCTTAGCATTAGTTCTTGGACATTGGAACCGTTAATAATGATATTTGCATCGTCTGCATAAAGTATGAATTTTACCATCATGTTAGAAATACCGGGAAGATCGTTGATGTATATGACGAAAAGTAAGGGACCTAGTATGCTCCCTTGTGGCACACCATGCACAATAGGCTTGTGGGACGAATGTGAATTGTTTATTGCTACATATTGGCTTCTATCACTTAGGTATGACTCAAACCACTTTAGAGCTATTCCCCGGATGCCGTAGTGCTGTAATTTATTTAGCAGTGTAGCATGATCCAGGACGTCAAACGCTTTACTGTAATCTAATAATAGCAGTAGTGAAATTTGGTTTTTGCTAAGAGAGTGTAAAATTGTACTTTGTGCATTAAGAAGAGCATGTTCACAAGACCTTCCTGGACGGAAACCATACTGATTTTCGAATAAAGAACTATTTTTGTTGAGAAATTCTAAGACACGTCGGTGCATCAGTTTTTCGTAGATTTTTGAGAAGGAACCTAAGAGAGAGATGGGTCTATAATTTTCAACGTCAAGTTTAGAGCCTCCTTTATGGATGGGAGTTACTTTGGCAATTTTAAGGGCCTGTGGAAATATGCCTGTACTTAAGGATTCGTTGATAACTTTTGCTAATATAGCAAGGAAACTATCGCTGGAACTGGCTACTTTTAGTGGTTCAATTTTTGTGTCAAGGGTCGCTTTGTTCTTCAAACCAATAATAATTCTTTGAATTTCGATCGTTTCGGCAGGCTGGAGATAGATTGATTGAGAACAGGATGTGGGCAGATATTCCTGGAACCCCCCAGGGTCAAAGGTCTGACGGGCACTTATCTGAGTTTTGATGTTCGTAGCAATGTTCGAGAAATAGTCATTAAACCTTTCAGCCACGGTATCTTCAGAACTCAAAATCGACCCGTCCGAACCTTTAAGTCTTAACTGCTCAGTTTTCCTGCTTCTACCAAGTAAACCGTTGATTATTTGCCATTGTTTTTTGGAGCAGTCCTGGTATTTTTCGAATTGTTTTTTATAGTATCGTTGTTTGGCAATGTTGACATGTATTTTACAGAAAAGTTTTAGCTTTTTATAGGCCTCTATATTATTCATTGTAGGTTCAAGTACTTTACTATGATAACTTTCTTGTTTCCGCGCACATGCTTCTTCAAGCCAGGGTAATATCCAGGGTTTAGTATTAGAACGCTCATGCTCACGGCGAATATGATTGATTTTTAGTGGATAGGCAGTGTTATAGTGCTTGGTGTATATATCTGCAAGTTTTCCGTATTGCAGACTAGCGTCGTCTGTACTTAATATCTCGTCCCACGTTTCCCCATCGATGAGTTCCCTAAAAGCAGCATTGTTGGCCTCATTTATCATAACTAAGTTTGGGTTGTGTGTTAGTAGGTAGCCTGAGATGTTGTTGCGAAGAGTTACTTAGTTTAAAAGTGGTAACGATAGCAAGATGATCCGATAAATCCACCGTTACAACGTTACTGCTTATTGTGTTACTTATATTATTTGTGTAGACATGATCAATTAAGGTAGCACTATGATCGGTGACTCGTGTCGGCCTTGAAACCGTCTGAACAAATCCATACTTGGCAAGGAGGTCTATGAGGTTCTGTCCAGAAATATCAGTTTTGAATTTTATAAGATCAATGTTTGCGTCCCCAAAAAACATTATATGCTTGCGAGAATGTCTGTCTAGACCTCGTAGCACCTTTTCCAAAGAATTTAAGAAGTTCTGAGTACCTTTAGATGGGGACCTGTAAAAGTTTATCAATACTTTTGTTTGGTTTGTGCCTTTGCAATTATGCACCTTAACTAATTGAAATTCAGCGCACGTGTCATCGGGATCTGTGGTTGCCTTAAGATTTTCTATATTTTCGGGATCACAAACCCTCTTATTAATGTAAATTACAAGGCCACCACCTTTTCCTGATTTGCGTAATGGTTCCTGAACAATAGGCTCGTGAAACCCTTCAATTTTAATGTCGGAGATTCCGTTTGGTAATTTATCTAACTTAAAATTGGTTTCGTTAAGACACAAAACGTCATACTTAGTATAACTGTCGATTTCTTCACGGAAGTATGTGATGTTCTTTACTAATGATCGCACATTAAGAGAAAACACTTTCAGTTCATCACGGGAGGAACTTTTAATGTTCGATGGCTGCTGATACTTACAATTGGTTAATATATCGCTGATTTCGTTCCAGTATTGGTAACTTTCATCGTTATCCTGATCTAAAGCGTTACCAATCAAATCTAAACCATGTGAGCGGTCGTATGGATTGAAAAGGGCAGTGATTCGGCTGCTAGAGTCCATAAAAATATCATAAGATGTCACATAATAACCTGGGATTAACGACTCACAGCACTTTATGCAGCCTAAATTATCTCTAAAACACTTTTTATGAATGTACTCATCGCACCATGAACAAGACCTAATGTTTAATCTAGAATAACAAAACCCGTTACAGGCCATGCACTTTGTTTTAAAATTAGTCTTGTTAACACTACTTTTATTATTCGTCGGGACATCAGAGGCATTGATTGGGAGAATTGAGCTTATGCATTCATAGCAGAACCATGGGTTCCCAGAATTTATAATGTGCCGGGCATCGTTTTTTGATAGTTTCTGGCATTTTAAATGTTTACGTTCAGCACATAGGTCACAAATTAGGTCAAGAGAACTTTTAGGGATACGAATATAGCATTTGTCGCAATTGGGCTGTGAGCCGTGTTGCCTATGATTACTTCGCTCCACTTTCAGTGACAGAATAAAGTAAGAGTTGAAAACAGATTAAATAAATGAAATAAAAACTGAATAAAGAAAAATTGATATTAATATATAATCTGATGGGTGTAGACAGTAGGCTGGTCAGATCCGTTTGCAAGAACTCATGTCTTATCTACTTCTTAGATATAATGACTTTTTAATTTCAGTCAATTTTAATTTCTGTCATCGGAATAAACTATATCATTGGACCAATGAAAAACAAGTTATTATCAAATTTGAATATTCTTAGGCTTCCTCGTTCACTTCTTCGGAATTACTAAATTTACAGTGAAATGCAGGACTGAGGTGGTCTAACAAAAATATCGTTTTCAAAAAGCGGGTATTACTGATGCTTTAAGTATGAAATATTCATTAAATCTGGTCATATTTCGTATCTGCCATATTTTTTAAACAACTTTCATAATCATAAACACTGATAATGATATATAACAGTTATTTTGACATTTTTACTGCTTAACGACTACTTTTCTAGCTTAATGCTGTTAATGTTATATAGTTTTGAGTCGAATTTGACAGTTAGTTTTTTAAGCTTAGTGTTCCCAGTTGAACACCTTATTTGAACGCCATAGTTGAACACCTTATTTGAACGGACATTAATTGAACGCTGGAGGTCCTAGCGTTCATCTTAATGTCCGTTCAAATAAAGTCCGTTCGTTTAAGGTCCTTCCAAGTTTAAGTCCGTTGAATTTTTTTCCAAAATTATTCCTCTGCGAACTCATGTCTTATCTACTTCTTAGATATAATGACTTTTTAATTTCAGTCAATTTTAATTTCTGTCATCGGAATAAACTATATCATTGGACCAATGAAAAACAAGTTATTATCAAATTTGAATATTCTTAGGCTTCCTCGTTCACTTCTTCGGAATTACTAAATTTACAGTGAAATGCAGGACTGAGGTG